CAAGCTAAATGATAATGAGTTTTAATCATTGATCTATATGTAATTATTGAACTCTAAAATTTGGGGCCTTTTTAATATGTAGGGCTTAAAGCCCATGCTTTTTTGAATATACTGTTTAGCCGGTGATGCTGGATCCTTTTGTCGGTTGCTTAGGAGTCTTGGGTGCTTAGTTGGATGTGCTGATTTTTACAGTTAAAAAAAGATGCTATGTCCTGATATTGAAATCATCACTAGTTATGCATTGGAAGCTGCGTGTCTTACTAAGCCCATGACAATTTTGTGAGAAAGACCTATATCAAAGATTTAAAAACTTGTAGGTAATGGAAGATAAGTACGAAAGATTTATGGAAGGACCTATTTTTATGCAGAGTATGTTGTATAATCTGAACTTGGCATACCAAAATGTGTTTATTCCTTTGGGTACATGATGAAAGCCTTTTCACTGTTACCAGAAATATCTGATATTAACGTTCATCCAAGATTTAGATTAATTTTGTCATAAGCCATAGTTGATACATGAAGATGTGTAGTCATCCTAAAGCTCAAGAAAAGGAGAAAACAAGCGAAAAGATTACCTCTCACAAACACCAAGTAGAAGCCTAATCTAATTCTTTCCCACAACTAAATTTTTTCCTGGAACTTATCTGTAAAAATTATTGTATTACTCTCTAACCATAGACCAAGAAAATTGCTAGTACCACACTTTTGTTACACATCCTTCTACCCATGATTATCTTAAAATCAAACACCATTGTACCAGAAATTGGTTATCTTAAAATCAACCCATCTTTTTGAAGAAGCAAGGGATGCAACTCAACCTCCCTGATATTAAGATATCTGCACAAGTTAAAGTCCGAAGTAATGGTTAAAGAAGATGAGCATGCCATAGAAGCAAAAGTGGCATTATGACTATGAGCATGGGTTTAACAACACAACTCGAGGAACCAGTATTGAAAAAGTTCTCCCACTCCTCTGCTCATTGTCCTAGAAACAAACATAATTCTCATTTCTATCAACGAATCTGGTATGTTGAGTCAAGTCAAACAATCCTCGAGAAATAGCTTTTCATGGGCTCTGAGCATTTTCCCTATCAACCACATGAGATACCATACTTTTAATTATACTATGTCACAAAGATTCACGTTAAGAGGAAATCTTGATAATCACTTCCCCAGTAAGTCAATGTTCCTAGCAATAATGATGCCCAAAGCAAGAGCTTGTTTATTCCTTGGCCAAGACACAAGTTCCCACTTCACCAAAGAAAAAAGGGAGGGGGGGGGGAGGGTTTCCCTACAGCTAAAATTCTTCAGATTTAGCCTTTCTTGCTAAGGGGAGGTCTACATTGTTTATGGGCCATCTTCCCCAAGTGCAACCCAAAATACCCACCTACCTATGAAGCTTATCATGCGACACATTAATTCTGATGACTTAATCTTTCCTTTTAAACCTTCAGACCAAAAATTACAAATAACCTTCAAATTAATTTTTTGCTCATCCCAGATAAATATAATACCTATCCCTTCCAACCACGAATTTCTCAACTAGATCAATATCTATACCTCTACACCAATCTGCTCAATACATTAACCCCTATTGTAAATAAAAAGCGTAATAAAGGATCACATTGGCCAAGTTAGAAGCACTAAAGTAGTTTTGATTTTCTATTAAAAATAGCAAATATTTAGTCGAAGACAAACAACCATATATCCACCTTCTCCATTTGCTCCCAAAACACTTGATTTCTAGAACTAGACCCAAGCATCTCCAATCCATGTGATCGTAAATTTTCTTAAAATAAACTTCCTAAATGATTCCTTCCTTTGCTTGACCTATATTCTTTCTCATTAGCCACTAAGACCATATAAGGGATTTATCAACCCTTCACAAAATCACTTTGGGTAGCTGAAATTATATTGCATGAAACCTGTCTTAATCTTCTAGACAACACTTCCCCAATTTATTTCAATGATGCAACCAAGCTAATTGGTCTGATAACAATAATCTTAAAGAATTCATTTTTTTAGAGATGAGACATATAAAAGTAGCATTAATTATCCTGTTCACAATCTCTTTCATACCCACAAACACTTTCATTAGATCATATTTTTATCATACCCCACAATCTTCATAAGTTGACATATCGGACCCATCTAGAGAAGTAATAAAAAATGTTACCGACAGTTTGAGTTTGTTTATTTAAAACCCCTCAATTTCCAGCTTCCAAATTCCATTTGCAACTCTATGAAGCTACTTGGAATTTTTGTCTCATTTTTTTAGTCACTTAACCTTCACATTCTCCTTCCAACATATCTCATTTTTGAAAACTTGTTCATCAAATTTATCTTACTTTCAATCCTCTGCTTTCTAAGTGTATCCTCAAACCACCATTAATTTCAATCCCATCCAATTATGAAACTCTTACTCAAATATTCTAGATATCTCTAACATCTCCAAACACGCCTTTCTCCATGTTTTCAGTTCGTTTTTGATCTTCTTAATCTGTTTGATCAAATTAAATCCTTCCAATCCCTGTAGACTATATTTATTTTTTATTTCTCAAATTACCATTTAAAATCATTATGGTCTTGCCCCGTATTTTTAAAACTAAAAGGTATAGGTTCCCACCTAAATGGACGACGCTTGAAAACAATTGGACAATGATTGGACACTACTCCAGATAAAGCTTCTTGTCTATAACACTTGGACACAAATCCTCCCACTAACCAGAAAGTAGAAATCTGTCCAGTTTAATGTTCATCAAATTTTCTGTAGGTTAGACCATGTCAATCAAGCATTTGATGAAAGTGGATCTATTAATATGCACTTCTGCATGAAAATATCAAGATATCTAATGCTTCTAGACTTCTAGTAACCTTGCTCTCATTCAATCTCTCTGATGCAATTGTGATAGCAATAAAATCACTCTCAGACAGCAATTAGGACTATAGAAGCTGCATCGACTAGCTAATTCCTCTCACAAGAACCTCCTAAAAATAGTCTATTTGGCCCATACACTATTGTTAGCCACCGTTGCAATCACTCAAACTTTCGAAACGTATCAATAGGGAAACTTCGAACAACCAGTTCCAAACCTCTCACAACTTTTTCTCCCCAAATTATTAGCACACTCTTGACCTCCTAGAAGAAGGCAAGGAAGCATATTCCTTATGCCTAACTTCCCTCATTACCCCTAGTAAAATTTCTGTCTATTCTTTCTAATTTAGTTTCCAGCAATATCACAATATCCCTACTTGCCATAATCAAAATTTCCTTGCATCTCCTCTCTTTCCTAATTTCTCTCGCATTCCAACCTACAATGGTTATATTTGAGTAGATGTGCCTTCGCGAAAATCTATTATCAATCCATATTGATGGGGCTAATGTTTGAACCATTGGACTCCACATTGTGCAGGCCTCCACTGACAGGCGTTGAGAAAACTAATTACAAGCCCTTATTGTCAAAAGACCCTGGTCACAATTTTTTTTTGGTCCTCATCTATGAGAATGTCATGGGTTTCTGGTTATGTATCTACTGGTAGTTATGTTTTCTGATTGTGCGCCCTTGTTTGCACCTCTTAGTGTATTTTTACTGGCTTATTAAGGATTTCTTTTAGATTTAATCCCAAGTATTATTTCAATTCATGTGATTCCAACTCATTTCCTTCGAACTGTGTAACTTATCAAGGTTGAAATATGAGTGGGGTGTAAGATGAGAGCATTCAGCTGGTTCTTCCTCTATTATTTCTCTTTATTATCATTCTTTTAGATTGATTCAATTTAGGTCTTCAAATTTTAATGTTATAGAGCTGGTCAAGTCCAACAGCCCATTTTAATGAAAGCATGCCTCGAGTTCTAATCATCCTGCTTCAGGCCTTTTGTCAGGATTCGTCCTAGTATTTACATGACACATCTAACATATGCCTGCATTTTTAGGAGGGTTTGCCGGGTACTGTAAGAGGCCCAGGTGCCTCCTCATTGGCATAGTTTCCAATCCTATTGGAGATGACTTTATGTTGACAAGTTGCATGACGTGTATCCGCCCCCCACCATTCTCACCCCAAGCATGTCAAGCTGTTTTGGATTTATAGGTCTTGCCTGTTGCTTCGTGCTTGGTTATTTTCTTCATTTAAATGTTTTTATCAAAAATAATATTCCATACTTCATAGATCCAGTCCTCAAATTTGTCGATGTAGTTGGATTTTTGGTTTAATTAGCCGGGCTTTGTAATATACGACATACATGCTCAAATTTATGTTTTGGTTGGCTGTGCATACTTTTAGGCAGGTTTGTTTATTTGATTTATTGATTAAGCTTTTGTTTTTTGTTGGGTTGTAATTTGGGGTTCTCCACTGATGGCTTAGGCTTGCTGGATTCCACTTTTGTGAGTTTGGGAAGTTTTGATGTGTTGATTCATTTCTCATATTATAAGCTGAGATGAAAAGCAAAAATAAAAAGAGATTTTAGCAGGGTGGATGCCATTTTTCTATCTTTTAGATTAATTTAATTGTAGGATTTGTATGGATGCCTTGAAATCCAGATTTATGTGGTGGTAATCTAATTTTTATGATTCCATGTTGTTTGGTAACAAACTCAAGCCACTGGCAGTAATAATTTCTTCTAGAGGAGCAATGTGAAGAAATCTAAGGCAGTTCTGTATGCATGTCTACATTTATTTGACGTGGGCATCTTTTCTAGATCAATACATGAACCCTATACACCAAAGTTTGTAGTGGTTGTGTATCTACTGTCAGCAGTATGGAGGCAATGAATTTCCCACATAATTTCACCTCTAATAAGGGCCATATACATATATTCTATCCTTCTCTACTTCATTTCATCATCTACCTCTGTGTTTAAACAAAATGTTTTCAGATGCTTTTTGTGCTTCCCTTGCTTGTTAATAATGCTTGAATCACTTTGTGAATCTCATGATGACAAAATTTTTTGCTTATAGAACTGTTGCAGAGGCTTTTAAGCATAATTACACCATCAACAGCAGGATGAGTGACGACATTTTTGGTGGACAGATATTGGCTGACAAGCTGTCTAAACTCAACAGTTCTCAACAGAGCATAGAATGTATCCTTCCTTTTACACAAAAATAAGCCATGAGCTCTAAAATTTTGCATAAGTGGCCATTGCCTAGGGCAACCTAGGCAAGGGTAAAATGCTTGGGCTATCAACTGTTTGGTTGTGGGTTTTGAAAATGAGCGAAGTCATGTTGTGCATATGATGCCAAAGATTAAGTTTTTACCTTTATTTGTAACTCTGCAAACTGCTGTGAAAATGACCATATTAACTGTAGTATATTGTAGGAATAGAACTATAAAATATTTTCAAGTTTCTAATTGAACTTATGTACTGTAGGATTGTGTTTTGAGATCTTTTTTGCAGTTGGTGTGTACTGTGATCCCCCATGGCAATAGTACTTGAGTAGCCTTCTCTTTCTGCTGTTTCAACAATTTCTTTCTAAGTATGTGTAAAATCCAAAATCATGTCCAACGGAAGTTATTGGTAATGTTCATTTGTTCTTTAATAATAATGGATTTGGTGGTACTTATTTTCCACTGGAGAAGAGTTTGTTGGCAAACATCATAATACTATCCTCAATTAAAGTTTTAGATGTGATTATACAGATTCATTTTTTACATAAGTTCTCTTTTTTAACGACGTTTTGAAATACTGACAACCAGTGAAGTTACTGAAATTAACTTAAAGAGGACATCTTGGAAGAAAGCGTTATCTACACATTTTCTTTTCCTTGGCGGCGGATCTTTGGTCATGCTCTAAATATGATATGCAGCCAAACTTTTCTACTTTGTTTTATTTATTTCTGTGTATGTGGATTTTCTTCATGATTATCTGATTGTTATGTTATGGTATAATTTCTTGACATTTGATTAGCGTTATCCCGTTGGTGCATTTCTTACCGGAAGAAAGCCAAACAAATAGTCGAAACATGGGATAAGTTGTTCAAATCTGCACAGCGAGAGCAGCGAGTTTCATTTTTGTATTTGGCCAATGACATTTTGCAAAATAGTAGGCGAAAAGGCAGTGAGTTTGTGAATGAATTTTGGAAGGTCCTTCCTGCATCTCTCAAGCATGTTTATGAAAATGGTGATGAAAATGGAAAGAAAGCAGCCTCCAGACTGGTAATGTCTTATCCACGAAGAATGTTTATCCTTTGCGGTATACCACTGTGTAGAAAATTGAGAGAGTGGAAGTTATTCTCTGTGCTAAAATAAAATGGGTATAATGGGTATATACGTGTACATGCATGCATTTATATCCACCAAATTTCCTCCAGAAGGATAATTACTGATAATTTGGACTCTGCTGTCATCCCTATGTCTGGCCTTTTACTGACCTGTTGTTGCCTTCTCTTTTCCCCTTCATTGGTTTTGGGAACAGAACGACAATTCTTTTTCACTATTCTGTTTTTTGCACAAATATATGGAGAACGACAATTGTTAAGGGTTATTAAAACATTGAGAATTCATGCATGCGAAAGCCCTCTCTTGCATCAAGCAGTAGTATGTTCCCATTGTCTAATTAGACCTTTTTTTGTTGTTTCTTAAATTAAAATTTAGGCCGTCTTTCACATTTTTTTGTTATCTGCTAATATAGCTTTCTTGGTCCAAATGTTAATTTGTTGAAATTGAGTATTTCATGGAGGAAAATAAAGGTGGGTAGTACTTGGTTAGATGTGGCAATTTTTGGTTGGAAGCCAAAAACTAAGCTAGAGACCTGAACTAATCAAGAAGCCTTCTAGTTTTGATATAATCATTTTTAGTTTTAGAAAAGATTTTTAGCTATTGCAACCACATTTCAAAAGGTTTTGTTGCAACTGCTTTTAATGCCGCTGTAGTCAGGTATTGTTTGTCGGAGTGTGGTAATGTTTGATTCTATAATAATGGTGAACAATTTCTTTCTTTAAAGCTTCTCTCTCTTTCTTTCTTCCCGTCTCTTTTGATAATGACTTCTTCAGTTGTTTTCCCAGTCTCTCAGACTTAAAATGATGATTATGATCAACTTAATATTAGTCCTAGCATTTGGAAAAGCAACGCAATCATGTCTTTCAAAGATGGCGAACCGGTTTTGGAGATTGGCTCGTGAGAATGTGATAGTTTCATTCCTTTCTTCTCCCTCTGCTCTTTCTTTTAATGTTTCTACCAATTATTCTCCCTAATTCTTGAATTCAATCTTATATTAACTTTTTTGCAATGTAGTACTGCAATTCTATTTAATTATTTTCCTAACCTGGTTAGTTAATTAACTATTTTTAAAAGTTGCTTTATAAAAAAGGAAAAAATAGAAACTATTTTAGAAAGTTACAGTTTAGTCGGCTTAACCATGCCTCATAAACCCTAATGACTACATCAAAATCCCAATTTAACCAGACATATCTATCCTAAGCCATTTTTTTTTGCAAAATTTAGGTACATCTGTTTTTGTTGTAATCTTTCGAAGTCTTGAATGTTCCAAACCTTGCCCCATTTGAAACTCATTTTGGATATCAGAGTATTGTTTTGTAATAATACTTTTTGGAAGGTTACTTGCTGTCCCTTTTTAACCGTAATCATGACATGTTTGGAACTTTTTATCAGAATCGTTTGGCAACTGCAGGTCAACGATTAAGTTAAAGATTGAGAGGAAAACTATAATGGTGGAAGTTGATGAAAAATCTAATGGTTAATCCATTCGGATCATTGAAAGGAATAGGAGAGAATGTTTTTCTTTTCAGTGCAGCTCGACTGTGCATTTTGGTTGGTTGAAAGAATAGGAACCTCTGAAATGGGGGGTAAGCTTGCCTTATCTAGAAGTTTTGAGGTGATGCTTATGTTGTGTGGGTTGAGTTGATTTGCTACAAAAAGGTGATTTTTTAAGGGTGATTAAATCCAAAGTAATGACAGGAAAATTGTTTTTGTTCACGAAGGAGATGATGGAAAAAGGTGGAGTGGCTTGGCTGATTGGATTCGGAAGAGGGGGAGATTCAAAGTGGATTTTCCCTCACGATGATACACGTGAAATTGCTAGACACAACCTAGAGTGAGGGCTGAATAGGTGTATCAAAATTACGTTGGGACAACCATCAATTTTAAACCTATTGACTACAATTACCAATTCATAAATTAATTAAGCAATTAAGTGTGTGAACCACTTTTATCAACAACCCAAACAACTTGTTATTTGAATTGATGCAAATATTTGTCATTTGATTAAATTATAATCAACTTCACCACAACAATGAACCCATCAACAAGCCAAACGTTCACAAAACACTTAACGATGAATAGAAAGTTAAACAATCATTCAATCGAACACATAGTGCGCATGTGTATGTAAAGTAAAAGCAATAAAGAGGCATTTACAACACAAGCAATTTATTGATGCGGAAATCCAACTCGGGAAAAATTGAGGCACCACTCCCAGTTCACATAGCCTAATCCACTAAACTCAAAGTTGATTTACGAGTACTCAAGTGTTATACCTCAGTCAATACCATAGTTAGACACCCTTTTCTATTGCAAATATCTCCTCTGGAGTTCCATTGAAGTTATGAATAGCTTCATTTGAACGCATCGACCGTAATAAATCGTTTAAGCTCTTCAAGCAATCTTCTCTCTTAAGATATTTGGAATTCACATTTCTTCAAAGCGAGTTTGGTTGAACTCTAAGCTAGATCTCCTTCTGTGTGTGAGGTTGAATAGAAGAATCAAGATGGATGGTCGTTGGGGTTTTAGAGATCTAGGATACAACCCTTTAGCTGGTTTTCATGCTGGAACAGTTTTCGCCATAGTTCATTAATAGTTAAGACTACGTTAGGTTGCGACATGATCACTTCCTAATTTTATAGGTTGTCCAATTAGAAGAAAATGTGTAAAGATTTGGTCCTAAATTTTCTCATGTTAAGGTCCTTAAGGATACACTTCAAGCAGTCATAAGTTTCCATTTGTAATATCTGATGCAAGGTTGTGATGATGGTAAACCGCTTGGTAGTCACAGAAATTGGGTTGTACATATGTAACACCCTATTTCTTAGATGCGGTATTTAATAGATTGACCATAATAAATCACAAATATCTTCAAATACAAGGGTCATAACTCTATTTATCCCAATAAAAATTATAATTGCAAATTTGATCTCTAAATACCAATAAAACTGTTAATCTCAATTTAATAAAAATTATATCGAGATTTGTTCATCTTCGATTCCTCAAATATCAACTCTGATCATTCCTTTTGAGATTATCCTAAAAAATGTTAAAAGTGGGGAAGTATACAATATGACCTAAGAAGCACGGACATGGATATGGACACGAGACACAGATACGACACGATACGGACACGCACACACGACACTTCTAAAAAAAGTAGGACACGAAACACTTGGGGGATACATTATAAAAAAATATATATTTTATATAATATTATATAATTTATCACAAATATAGTGATAATGATATGCAATTCATAAAAGATTCGGTATTTTATGATAAGTAAATCTTATGTGTAGTCATCTGTGTGAATTTTTAGACTAAAGTTTCATCATAGTAATCAATATTCATCATTTTTTTTATAGACAATGTGTACCTAATATATAATTTAAATAATTGCTCATATTTTCTCGAATCTTCTTTTTTTTAAACTTTTATTCATCTTTTGTTTTTATTATTATATTTGGAGTACAATTTTAACATGTCTAGTATTAGTAATTATATGTTTTTAAAATTTTAAACTTTGTTAATAACATTTCAACATATGTTTGTTGCTTAATAGTAGACACATTCTAAAGAAGTGTTGGACACGTCTTTGTCCGAAATTATTTTTTTTTATTTAATTATGGACACGTGTTCAAAAAGTGTCAGTATCCGATATAGATATGCTACTTTCTCGAGAGTGTCTGTGCTTCATAGAATATGACAGGAAATAATATGTTCAACGATAAACAAATATACGAATAATCAAATACCAAATGATAGGATACAAGAACAAATCGTCAATCAAATTGGACATGTCACGTAGCTCAACTGCTATCAAATATAGTTTCATACTTAGTTCCTCTTGGTGACATGACAAGTGATACTTGGACATATAAATTCATACTCATACTAACCAATCACACTCCATAGGGCTATAATCATAATGACACCCCGTAGGGTTACAATTACATTTCACTAACTATGCTCCAAGTACACTTCGTATATATACCAATTAATTCCAAACTATTTAGCCCAAAATACAGGTCAAATCAAATAAAACACACAGAATTTCATATCAATCAGAAATAACAAATAGGAATACGAACTTTGAGATAAACAATAGAACACTCTTTGCAAAGAGATTTACAAACAGGAGCATATTATATATTACCCCGTATCTCAAATTTATCAATAACTCCAATAGATATGAAATTCGAAATACCACGAATTAAATGCTTAACTTTAGTAGTGATTTGAAGTAAAATCACTGTCCAATTTTTAACCCCAAAATCATGTAAGTTTTTCTTTTTATTTCCTTCATTTCTTTCTCGTCCTTCCTCTTTCTGCCCCCTCCTCTCCTTTCTTGTGTTGTCTGAATGGTCACTGGTCATGGCTATTTCTAGCCAAAATTCTCCCCAACATCACTTAGGTGACATCAAATTGCTTACTTCACGTGGACAAATGTCCATGCTTCCTCCATATTTTTTTATAGACACACTTGTCACTTGAACACCAAACCATCCCCCACCCATTTCACACTTGTATAATATAAACATATATATATATATATATATATATATATATACACATATTATTCATTCATTATACGAATTAGATATTATGATATTTTTATTTCAACACGAAATACGACCTATATTATAGTCATTCGTTTTATTTTCACATATGATCCGTTTGGTTAGGAAGAAAAAAATTATGAAAAATGAAAGAGATAGAAAGTGAAGCAAAAGAAAAGAAAGTGAAAGAAAATATATTTTTATGCATACATTTGGTTAGCATGAAAAACTTTTAAGAAAATTTAAAAATAATTTCTTTCCATTGTTTGAGAGAAATGAAAGTTACAAGAAATATTTTCTAATTGTCTAAATTATCTTTAATTATTTTAACTCAGTCTAAAGAAGAAAAAATATTTTTATTATTCAAATTTTTAAAAAATTGGCTCCTAATATAATTTAGAGACAAGAATCTAGTCGAACCCTGTTCTCTAGACCAAATTATATGGTTTTTCTAATTTGTATAAAGTTTTTTAAAATTGATAAATAATTGAAATTTTTTTAAAAAATAAGGGTAATATGAGAAGTTAGGTCATTGAACACTACTTTCTTACTTTTTCTTGTGTTTTTTGCAAGAAAAAAAAGTTAGTTAAATATGAGAAAATTTAAGCATAGAAGAAAAATACTTTTTCTATCATTTTCTATTTCATGTGAAACAAACACATGTAAAATTTTAAAATTTTCTCTTTCTTGTATTTTCTAGCATTATCTTGCTAAACAAACGGACCCATAAGAAATCCATATTTATGGTCTATTTATTTATTTGAAATTTTAAAAAATAAATTTATTATATAGAACCATAATTAATGTGCTAGCAATTAATTTTTATATGGTCGTGACAAGATACAATGTGGAATATGAACTAACATGGCTGCTATAAGGATGAGTTGAAGTATGATAATGATTTCGAGCTTTTGCGGCAAGGTCCTCTTGGATCTTATCCTTTGAACAATTGTTTCATCGCATTAGTTGAGATCTTATTGTGTGCCATGTAGTGATGCCCGAGAGTGAGTAAGTGCCGACACAGAGAAGTATCAATGTATTTACTTGGCGTCTTCTTTCTGTATACTGCTTTTATATTACATCTTCTCATTTTTGACCTGTCAAATTTTAGAATATTGTTATTTTTTCTTTTTGGCTTTCAAAATTTCCAGTGCATTTCTACTTATCCATTTTTGGGGTGGGATTGGGGTGGGAAAATTGGTCAGGTTGACATATGGGAAGAGAGGAAAGTTTTTGGATCTCGTGGTCAGAACCTTAAAGATGAGATGCTGGGTAAGAATCCCCCTCCTCTGCTGGTTAGTAATGGAAAGAATTCAAATCCCATCAAGATAGTGAAGAGGGATGCACACTCATTAAGAATTGTAAGTTTGGACTGAATTTTGTATCAGTTCATGATATTGTTTACTTGTCCCTTTTTTTTTTCATTTTACTTTGGTTGAAATATCGGTATATTTGATTTGGGATCATGCCATTGTAACTTTAGAAATTGGCTGTTGGCGCTATACCGGAGAGAATAGTAACTGCATTTCACTTGGTTCATGATGCAAATGTGAATGAAGAAGCTGCTTTAGACAAGTGTAAAGATGCAGTTCGTCGAGCTGGTGAAATGGACAAAGATGTTGACAATATGTCTGCTCAAGGTATGTGTTGCACTTGTATCCTCTAGAATGAAGTTTATAGCAGCTGGGATAACATATCTTTTCGTGGAATGGGAGTAAAATTATTTTTCTCTTTATTGTTTTTTTCTCTTTCGATGAGACTCTTTTGGAGTTAAATTATTTTGGATGCTGGAAAACGTGTGGTCGTGATAAGGAACGAAAAAGGATTGGAGAAACAGGTTGGATTGAAGATTAAGGCTTAAGAATTTATTCTAGTGTTATTTTATAGCTTAGGGTATTAAGGGTTTCTTTTATTAACTTAGCAATTTAAACATTATTATTTTAATATTTTTGTATTTGTCTATCAGGCTATTTTAGGCTGCCTATAGATAGGCATTATATAATGGATTTTGGAGACTTGACGATAGAGTTGCTATCGAGAATTCACTATTAATATTGAATTGGTTTTTTCCTCTCTTCTTGAATTTTGCTCTTTGGTTTTGTAGCATTTTTCTCCCCTTCTCATTCTTTCTCCTTTTTATTTTCTCTTGATCAGATTTCCTTTTTGTCTTGGATCAACTGGTATAGAGCAAATGATGTAGACTAAGAAGAACTAAGAAGTAGATGAGAATAGAAGAGGAGGATGAGAAGAAGAACTAAGAAGGAGATGAGAAAGAGAAACTAAGGAGAAAAAAATTCTCAAAAATGATCAATAATCCAAGTCTCCCTAATACCAATACATTAGTCCCATTTTATGGGGTACCAAAAACCCTAAAATCAAAGATTACTAATGTAACCCTACACTAAAGATAAATACTGCCGGTGGCGGAGGGAGGTAGGGGCCATTTTTTACCTATATATGTTTTATATATATTTTTTGGATAATTTCAATTAGGCCCACCCTAATGAGCTAGATAAAATAAAATTAATTGGGTCAAAGAACCAATCCCATAAGGCCATAACAAATCTCTTGAAGTCAATAAATTGAAAAAAAAAATGTTGAGTCATAAAAGCCCTTGACACACTCCTTTGTCCTTTGTCATCTTCTTTCCAAAGACGAGCAAAGTGGAAAAGAAAGGAACGACTCAACTTGCACCTTTGCACCAAAAACATCACGTTGGAGACTTGGAGATCAAGAGAAGAAGGAAGCATTTCATTTTCTCTTCTCGCTACATCAAGTGCCTCCGTTGAGAGAGCATTTTTTGCGATGAAGATTGTGAAGTTTAAGTTACATAATCGAATGGGTGTTCAATGGATAACAGATAGTTTGATTACCTATATAGAGAAAGGCATTTTCGATGACATTGATAGTGAAATTATCATCGAATGCTCTCAAAGTATGAAGACTCGTCGAGGTCAATTGTAAATGGTTGTAATTAGCCTCATTTTTATTGTAAAAAGTTATAATTAACCTCATTTTAGTAATTTTTTGTTTGTATAGAATATATATATGGGTTTTAGGCCCTTTCATGTCTAATGAATCTTTATGTATTAAATATGATGTAAAAAAACACATAAATATATCACATTATAATCTATTAGAGGACAAAGTAAAACTTGTAGTTAAAGTGTGTTCGCCCTAGATCATATTCCTAGTCGCCACTGAATACTACCACCTTCAAATAAACTAATAAATAAATCTATACTATTTATTTAACTCCAACACAATCTCCATCATTCTCACATGGTTGAGAAAAACTCTACCCCAAATAGTCATCAAAGCTAAAGTACTCCAAGAGAGCAGAATGATGGTGGTAGAACTCTTCCTCAATAGAAGCATCAATAATGTCCATCGAGCAGGATAAAGGTGACAATTTCTATCTAAAACACTAAAAATCTGGTCTTCTAACACATCCTTTATATGACGCGGAGTATGTGGTGGAAGTGGATAGATAAGAACGGAGATAGTGCTGACAAAGAAGCAACTCCAACTTTAGAAACACCTACTTGTAAAATAGGAGGCTCTAGAGTGCCTTGTTAAAGTAACATGTTCTCCAAATAGAAACTGGAGTACTATAAAAATTCAATGGAAAATCAAGCAGATATGCATTAGGTCCCCATTCAAGAATAGCTTAAGCATTTCCATTTAATTTCAGCATGACATATTTGGAGGGAGAAGAAATTGATGGCAAATGAGTAATAATAATGCCCTGATGATGAAAATAATAAAGTATAGACTCAAGTGAACTCTTAATAGTAACCAAGAAACAGGTAAAGAAACATGATCAATGGGATCTCTCGAAAATCCTTGTCATTGACTAAATTATCGAATGATGATTATGGTGTTTCATCCTCCGCGACAGGATAATCCTCAAATAGCTTTCACCTCTTGTAGGTTCAGTCGCAAGTTTAACTAAATAAATCTTCCTAACCCTGAACTACCTTAATTTCGTACTCGGATGTCAAATTCACATGGGTGATACATACTTTTAATGAGAATGAAAGAATTTCATTGTCAAAGAACTCCTTATGGTCTTTCGTCATTTACACCATGATGATTATTAGTTTTAGTCACCTTATAAAACTTTGATACGCCACTTCGACGTTGCCATGCCAATTCATTGTCTTCTCGTTATGATTTCTTTGCAGCTCATGCTCACATTCACCAGAAGCAGATTCTAATCATCCTATTGCCTCGCATCTCCTGCACTTTTTTCATCGCGGAAACTTAGTCACCATCTCTGGCTTCTTTCATTGTCCTTGAACCTATGTATGTTGGAGAGTGAAGCTAGGGTTCAATGGCTTTAATACCAGAATTGTCTCTCAAACCATAAGCATTCTAGAAGATAGAATATTAGATAAAATAAGTAGTTATTCCTGTACTACAATAGTAGGTACCACCTGTGGAAGATAGATGATTGTACAAAATAAGTATAACTACAAGGATGACCTGTAACACCTTGACCAAATTCCATGCCATTCAAAGTGTTAGACCACCTCAATTGTAGAAACGTGTAAGATATGCCTTCTAAAATTGTAGTCTATATAATCATAGTTGTCAAATTGCGATTCGTATCGTGAATCGGAATCCTAAATTTGAGAATCGTGAATCGTATCGAATCGTGTATCGTATGATTCAACACAAAAATAAAAAATAATACTACATATTTTAAATAGACAAAATATAAAATATTGAACATTATTGCATTCTAAAAATAATCAATTTAGCATAATAACGTCGTTTAAATGGAAAGAGCAAAATGAGCTTTAAACGATGTCAGAGAGAGAACGAGTAAAGAGGTTGAGTTTTTATTAGGGTGTGGGTTCCTCTGCAAACAAAATGACGTCGTTTTACTGTTTAACGGATAAAACGATGTCGTTTTGCAAAAAATTTGAGTTTTAAAAAAAAGTGATTCAATCATGCGATTCATGCAATACGAATCATACGATTCAACTCTAAAACGATTCTCATATAAGATACGTATCGTTTTGTACCTGTATCGAATCGCGAATTGTACGATTTTGATAACTATGTATACAATTTTTAAGGATGAACGTGTAAGCAGTACAAATGTTGTCAATCTTTTCCCATAATCTGCCAATTCTTTTCCCAAGCTTCATGATAATTTACTTTAGTCGATGCAACATGCCACTTTGACTTGCAGTTGAAGGTACAATATGGGTGAGCTGGGAAGCCCAGTAAACAAGATATCCACAATGGTACAAGGGGACAGAATAATTTAATAGCAGTTTCTGAGAAGGATGCATAAAAGAAAAAAATCTCAAAAGTGAGATGGTTGTCAACCGTCAATAGGATCATGCGCGACACCACATCAGACATAGACCTGATACAACACCTCAACCCAATCCCATGGATCTCTTGAATTATCACTGCACTGCACTTTTGGCTGCCACAATCTAGCCCTCAATCCACACTACTTGATCAACTTACTTAACATACTCCAACAATTCAGTAAGTATTCTAATAGAATCACATCAAACTCAAATGGAGTATAAATCCAGATGATCAAACGAGATACTCTCTGTAAAAAGATTTAGAAGCATATTGTGAATAACCCACTTACCTAATCCTAGATTGACAGTGTTTGAATTGCACATCAAGGGATTTTATTGTTTTGGATGCCCAGCCCGTTTTGCATGCTGCTGTGTAAATTCCAGTCATTTTGGGTCGTCCGTTCCTTGCTAGGTCTAATGCTTTGATTAATTGTATGAATGAAATTATGAAAATTTCATTTGGTAACATGACATTGGAATTGAATGTGTTTGATATTGTTAAGCAACCCAGGGAGGAGGAAGATTTGCAAGAAGTGAATTGCATTGAGTCATTAACTCAGTTCATGCAAGTATCGAGCTAGGTTTCATTTTCATTTTTATTCCATATTTACTATTTCATGTACTTTAATGCATGATTCAATGACTTACTAAGCTGGGCTTTATGTGAAGATTGGAGATTGAGTACACGGTTTAAGTCTTGTCATATCTAATGCTTTTGATTCTAAGCATAAACCGGAATCATGTATTTCATCAATAGCCAACATCTGCATATTTTTTTTTCTACATATTTCTCTCCCCATAAGATTTAGGACTTTATTGTAACCTTTAAATAAACTTTAAATATTTGATTTTTATAAACTATTATTTTACCTCATTCATGAAATAATTTATTAGAACATTATGGTGGGTATTACACCCTCTTATCCTTTTAGAATTCCCCCCGGACATGAAATTTCATCGGTTAGCAAAGCAGAATGCGAGCTGCACACTTTGATAAACATCTACTTATTGACTAACTGATTCTACTTGATTCACCGGTCGTGATCATGAGTTACAAGCCTAGAATAGTCTAAGAATCAATAACATAATGTGTTGACACCAATTTGTAATGCCCTAGCCCAATTCCATGCCATTCAGATGCTTTCAATCAGGGCACGAAGAATCTTGCAACTCGATTGATACTGTACTTGATCAACCCTTGTTTATAAGCACTTCAATATTGCATCAACATGCTAACATATATGAAAACATGTTGACATATACGAGTATATGCTACTTGAATTCGTGGACATGTAAACACTATCACGAAAGTTGTAGCTTTTTTTGGGAGTTCTGCAAACATTTGGAGTCATTTTGTAATTTGTAAGAACTTCGTATAGCATTTAGGGGCACTTTGAAATTTCAAAAGTGTCACATCACTCTTTGGGTTCAATCTATAGTTTTGGAAATATTTCGTAACCATTAGGGACCACTATATAATTTTGGAAATGTTTCATAAACTTTGAAGGTTATTTTGTAATTTTAGTAGGTCCTATTTGTTACACAAGAAACTAATGGGGAGTTTTTTGTAATTGAGTCAAAATCCCATTCCTCTTCTAAGAAGTACGAACATGGATACGGGACACAGACACGACACCGACACGTTAACACGAAATTTTTCAAAAGTGTAAGTGATAGAGATCGAAAAGGGATTGGATGAGCTTAAATTGAAGAATTGAATTTTATTATTTGTTTTAGTATTATTTTATTAGTTAATGAATATTTTTTTGACTAGGAGTATTAATTAGAGTTTGACTAGGAAATTATTATAGAGTTTTAGTAGGATAAGGATTTGAGAGTTTGATTATGAAACTTTTTTAGTATTTTAGTAGGAAAGTAGTTTTTATTTTAATAGGGAACTTGGCCTGTAAATAAAGGTGTAATCCCAATTATTTTTATTAGAGAGAGATTATGAATAAGAATTGAGTATTCTCTACGGAGATTTGTGTATTTCTTCACTGATTCCTTGCGAGGATGAGGTAAACCCCTTCCACCTCTCTTTTTTCTTCGCTTTCTATTATGTGATTTCTAAACTTCTCGATCTACATCAGTAAGACACTGACACGTTGGCGATATTTTAAATACATATATATATGTGTGTGTGTGTGTTTAAAATAAAATCATGTGATAAAATATAAAATCTTATCATAATAATCTTTAATTCATCATTTCTCTAATTCTAAAAATTTGCATCATGATATCACTGCATAAAAAGTACAATACACATTCAACATTAACATCCATGATCTAATAATCAAGGACTACTAGTCTACTACAATTTTTATTTTCAAAAATCTTCTACTTCATAACATTAATTTTCATTAATTTCAAAGAGACCCAATTTTATAACCCCATTTTTCTGACATTACTTTCATATTAAAAGTTTATTCTATTATATTTTAGCTTGTATTCATATCCAAAATTATGTTACATTCATGTCTTATGTTCAATTTAATGATTATAACTTCTTTTATATTATTGACACATCTCTCTTTAAAATTACAAAAATAACCTTAATTATAAAGTTATTAAAAAGTTCTCAAAAAATAGAAATAAAAAATCTAAAAACGTGTCTCTGAGTGTGTCGGCCACTTGTCCCCATGTGTACCCAACGTGTCCTAAAAATAAATTTAACAATAAAAAAATTGGACACTCATTTTAGCGTGTTCAAATCGTGTTCTTGTCCCAGACGAGTCCAACACTGACACACCGGTCAAAATGAAGTGTTCGTGCTTCCTAACTCTTCGTCATGGCCAACGTTGAGTAGCTACAACATTCCTTCTTCATGCCAGATTTTTTTTTTGAGACGACCTTGTAAACTGAGTTGTGATGTATGCTCTACTTGCATGAGACATGGAGAGTCAAATGCCCATTTATTTATTCATTGTTATTTTTCTTGGGAATTGTGGAATAAATTGTTTAACGTGTTTGGTGAGGCATTGGTTTGTCAAGCTTCAGTGGAGGAAATGATGCAAACTACATTACTAGACTAGGTTGGTCCTTTGCTGATATAGAAATCGGTTGCTCACTTGCTATAGCACTTCGGTATGAACGTGGTCTTTCCATGGATAGCAAGTGTTCTTTATCAAGTACTAGGAACGTACTTCTTTACCCAAAGTATTGGCCTCAATGATCCTATTTCCTTGGTCTCCGAATTACGAATCCTTGGTGTACCTTGGTGTTCCTAGCCATCCACTCATTTTTGTCCAATCTCCTACTATGGTAATATATGTGTATGTATGGTAATTGATAATAAAACTTCCATAAATTTATAAGTTGTTTTCTTTCATTCATATAACTATCTGGTTTAGAGATTTGGGAGGTGTAAATAAGGCAAGATTTGTGGAGTTGTGCTTTGATGGTGGGTCTTTGGAATAGTTGGATAGAGAGGAATTCTAGGTGATGGGGATCGTGTAGGAATTGGATAGATATTATAGATTAATTATGATAGTTATTTAGATACTTTTAATAGTTAGCTTTTAAGTAATTTCTTTTAACTTTTAAGGTTTAGTTGTCATTTTGATTATTTATTTATTTTAGGATTTGTGATCTCCTTATATATATAAGATTTGTGAATTCCTTATATATATAGGGGATACGTATTTGTTGAGAGACTTTGATTATTAATTATTGATATTGAATGTTCTTCTTAAAATTCTCTCTATATTCTCATCCCTTTTTTTTCTTTTCTCATCCCTTTCTTCTTCCCTTTTCATCCCTAATTCTTCCCTAATACGATTTACATCAATTTGGTATTAGAGCCTAACTTCGATTTGGAGAAAAAAAAAAAACGAAGTTACTGTTCACGCGTGCACTGTTCACCAAAAAAATTGTTCATCAGTGAAAAAAAAAAAAATTTCCCAGCAGATTTAGAAAATTACAGAAAAATTCTAGTTGT